TTCTAAGAAAAAGAATCAAGAAATAGAAGGGAGGACCTGATACAGAGATAACCGAGGAAAGTGGCCCAGAGCTCCCGGAGCGTCAAATGAAAACTACTCAGGAAAGCGAAAGGTGAAGACCCACATCTAGACACATTCTCTCAAAAAAAAGGTAAAAATCCACAAGTTTCCACAGAGAAAAAAAAGCCCACAATTTTTAAATACACTGGGAATAAATTCACCAGCCACCCTGAGGCTGGAGACAAAAGGTAACATCGACTTCATCCCGAGGAAAACCAAATTCCAATGAAGAGTTTTATTCTTTAAGATTTAAGACAGGGCTGGGCCTGGGGCTCAGCTGTAGAGCGCTCACCTAGCACATGAGAGGCCCTGGGTTCGATCCTCAGCACCACATAAAAATAAATAAAATAAAGGCATTGTCTCCAACTGCAACTAAATAAACAAGACATTTAAAAAAATAAAGATTTAAGACCAAGGGCTGGGACTGGGGCTCAGCTGTAGAGCGCTCACCTAGCACATGCGAGGCCCTGGGTTCGATTCTCAGCACTACATAAAAATAAATATAAAATAAAATAAAAATATTGTGTCTATCTATAACTAAAAAACATATTTAGAAAAAAAAAGATTTAAGGCAAAATAAAGATGTTTTCAGGAACATAGGAATTTTACTTCCCAAGCCCCTTTCTGGTGATGTTATTGAGGATGTGCTCCAAGAAAGAGAAGAAGGAGGGATGGAGTGGGGACATGGAAAGAAGAAAGGAACAGGAAGAAGGAAGGAGGGAAGGAGGGAGGTCAGGGGACTCGGGACCAGGAATCTGAATCCGAGGCATCGGTGACCGAGGACATGGGCTGTGCCTGGCTGCCAGGGCAGCCAAGGCTGAGGGACCAAGAGGTAAGAGAGAAAGGGATTCCAGAGACAGATGACAACGGAAGGTCGTAGGACCCCCAGAGTTAGAAGGAAGCATGTATGTATCCTATCAGAGGGGAAAGCAAGCCCAATTATGAAAAGAAGAAGAAAGCAATGAGACCATTGTATAAAGCACACTAATGCATGCCCCAAACTGGTAGAGTTAGAAAAAGAATCCATTCCACAGCGACACCAAGAATATAGGCCTTAGGGCGTAGGTAGGAATGTAACCCTGGAACCATCTAGAAAAAAACATAATCTGATTCCATTGCTTGATGGCCCTTGATAGCTAAGAATCAGGCATCTGAGGGAAGAATCCTGCTCCTGCCGTCCACCAGCTGCATGACCTTGGGCAGTTTAACCAGCCTGCACTGCTGCAGTTTCTCCTCCCCATCAAAGACTGAGGACATGCCGAAGATGAGCTGAGCCAGTGGCAGACACACCGGCACACGAGGGCTCTTTATAGTCCCTCTTTAGGGCTCTTTATAGTCTCTCTTTGCATGTCTTTGAAACTCTCTGTGACAAAAACCATACAAAACAGAACAAAGGCATGCTCCTGATGCTAGGACGCACTGCACTGTGGTGAGAAAGGAATCGCACGAGATAGTGGCGCAGTGTCCAACCACAGGGTCCGTAGAGTACAAGTGGGGTGCAAGTAGAGTGCACTGAGATCATCTGAGTCTCAGGGACAATGCACAGCACGAGTTGTGACACTCCCAACACTGGAGGTAGTTAAGGTTGATAACTACATTTGAAAGCAAAATCTGCCAAATGAGTTATAATTTAAGTGAGTCTGGTCAACATGAACATATATATTTATCACCTTGTCATCTTGAGGCTATAAATAGGACAGCACAGTCCAGTGCCTGGCAGGGGCAGGATTGAGTCCTCAACCATTTCCTGGATTCAGTTGCTTAATATTCTGAGAACTTGGTGGGTGACATGTAAAATTTGCCTGCGAATTCTTGATTCCAAAGTAGCACATAATGAACATGAGCTGGCTGCTGGTCCTCCCTCTCCTTTTGCTATTTTCCAAATAACCTTCATATCTTTATACCTCTCCCCCCCACCCCACCCCCAGTCATTCCATCCCTCAGACGCTCCTTCTCCAACGGATGGCGGCAGGATCTGTTCTTGTTTACTCATAAGATCTACCCCTAGCCATCAACCTCTCCATACCAGTTGCCTTGTAGTTCACTTCTGTCCAGTTTCCCTCGGAGATGGAATTAAGAGGTCTTTACAGCTAAGCAACCTGAGGTATAATTACTCCAAAAAGTTCTTAAGCCACCTCTCAAGGCAGTGCTCTTCTTGGAACAGAACACTGTGATACTTTGTGCCATTGAGTGCTTTAGGAGTCAAAAATAATGAACGGTCAAGGCTCGAATGACTCAGGTCTCATCATTACTAGGGACATTTGCTTCTCCCACGAAGGTTTTCATAAGAACAATCCTTTGAGGTCAAGTGACAGTTCCCTTTATCCAGGACCAATTGTCAATTCTGTACATTCCAGTCCTAGACTCAGGGGTGCCCTCCCCTAATGATATAATGACCTGGAACCTGTGCATGTGGCCTTATTTGCAAAAAGGATCTCTGCAGGTAGACTTAAGCACCTCAAAATGACTGTATCCTGGAGTGGGGGGGGGGGTCATAAATCCCGTGACAAGTACCCTTAGAAGAGGACAGAAGGCACAGAGGAGAAGGCTGCATGAAGACAGAGGCCTGTGTTTCCTAGAGTCACCAGAAGCCGGAGCTGAGAAGGAAGGATTCTCCCGTAGAGCCTCCAGAGACCACACTGCCCCTACCTTGGCTTCAGGGTCTGGCCTCCAGAGTTGTGACAGAATACATTTCTGTTCTTTTAAACTCCAATATTGTGGTGATTTGTTACAGCAGCATCAAGAGGGATGAGGGGAAAGGTTGAATTGAGGAGAAACTGACCCAGTGTGACTCCCCAAGGGAGTGTAGATGACTTGGAAGTTTCCAGATCTGCTGTCCCCCACACCACATACCAAAGAGCAGCCCAATAGGAACTTCCTGTTCTCCAGGGCCACGACGTTATCCTGGGAATTCTAATGGATGCCAGTAACTGGATGGTCTCTTCAGGATCAGCACAGCCTGTTTCTTCTGCCCCTTTAGCTCTTGTTCTTCACTGACGCATCCCTCTCTGGAGGCTCTTGCCTCTTCCTGGCATGCTTAAAGGGTAGTAAAGAATGCAGGCTGCGTGATGGCAGGCCTGTCCCTTCACTGCTTACACAGAGGGCTCTAACCCTGCCACTAGCACAGTAGTTAGCACTTGGAAGTGAAATCAATAGTACTTGAATGGAGGATTAAATAGGCACATGGAAGAGACAGCATTTCCCTCACAACCACTGAGAAGTCTGGTTTCTGATTCAGTGGATCTGAGCTGGGGCCCAGAACTTGCATTTCCCCCACATTCCTGGGAGATTCTAATGCTGCTGGTCCAGGGACCACACTTCGAGAACCTCTAGTCCAGAGCAAAAGCGCATTTACACAGGCCCAGGATCCCAAGATTCACAAACTCAACAACAGAAATTCCACCCTGCAGATAAAATGGACCCAAAGGAGCTATCAGGAGCGTCCCCTCTCTGCCAAGCCTGGCTGACAGTAGGTGATACCTGGGAAGAGTGCTTCCAAGCCTTGCAGAGCCCCTGAGGCTTTCCTCTGGTCAGTGCTCATCTTCCTGCCTGACAGGACCCAGCGGGACCCAGCAGCCAACATCAGCTACCCTGGGCATCAGTTAGGCAAGGGCGGAAAGGGGTTTCTCCCTCCTCACACATAGTGAAGAAGCCCAGAGAGGGCAGGTGCAGTGTCTCCCTCTGCTTCACCTCCACACCACCATCTCCCAACCGTGTGGCTGGGGGACTTCCCAAGGCTCTAAAATAATGGGGCATATGGGAGGACAAGGAAAGCGAGGGGTGTCCATTCACTGGAATGCTCCTCACTCTTACCAAGGAAGGGAGCTCCTACCCAAGCTACAGTGGGGATGCACCTGAGGACATTAGCAAAGGGAAGGAAGCCAGGCACGAAGGACAGGTCCTGTACAAACCACCTCAGAGGCTCCTGAAGGAGTCAAATTCAGAGGCAGAAGGTGGAGCAGTCCTGCCAGAGGCTCCGGGAGGGAAAGGAGGGTTTAAAGAAAAGAGTGGAAACTCACCTCCATTTCCCTTTTTTTTTAAATTTTATTTTTAGATTGTAGGTGGACACACAATCTTTATTTCATTTTTTTAATGTGGTGCTGAGGATCCAACCCGGTGCCTCACGTGTGCTAGGCGAGCGTGCTACCGCTGAGCCCCACCGCAGCCCTCCCTCTCCCTGTTCCTTTTTGTTTGCAGAACACAAGTCAGACAGGAAAACAGAACAGTCATCTCAAGAGGATTGCTAGGTCATCATTTCTGTTTTTGTTTTCTGTGTGGAGATGTAGAATCCTTCACAAATGCTTGCATTGGTTCAAACTGCAGGTGAAGGGCTGGGGATGTGGCTCAAGCGGTAGCGCGCTCGCCTGGCATGCGTGCGGGCCCGGGTTCGATCCTCAGCACCACACACAAAGATGTTGTGTCCGCCGAAAACTAAAAAATAAATATTAAAAAATTCTCTCTCTCTTTGAAAACAAACAAACAAACAAAAACTGCAGGTGAAGTCACAAGCACATACCTGGCATGTGCACAAACACACAGGACATAGACACACAGTGACCAGTGTGCCACCCAGTTTCCCATCCCCACAGAGAAGCAGTGCATGTTTCCTGGAAGGTGGTTTGGAAGTGTGGGCCCGGCCAGTAGCATGCACATCACCTAAGGCTTGTTAAAAATGCAGCTTCAGCCCCAATCCTGGTCTTGGGGTGGGGCCAGCAATCTTCATTTTAACAAGCACTCCAGGTGACTAATGACGGCTCACACGGGGAGCCGGAGGCCCCACAGCCCTTCTGCTTCCCTGTTACTTGGGTCTGTTCCTGCCTAGACCGCCTGGGGCACCGGCCAGCCCAAGTGGACACCTGCAGGGTATCAAGGGTGATGACCTCTGCCGCCTGCAGCGTGGTTCAGGCACTCCAAGGGTGGAGCCCGGGGCAGCCCCGCCTCGCACACCTCCAGCAGCACAGGTAGCTAGCCCGGCAGGGCCTGCCACAGTCAGTGGTGCTGGACTCTTCTCACTCTCCGGTCACCGCGGGGAACCCACAGAGCCTCCACCATGGGTAAGTCTGCTGGCGGAGGCGGGATCCCCGGGGAGCGAGGACACATCCGTCCTGGCAGCGGGGAAGGCCGGGGTGCCACTGTGCCACGCAGTCCTGCTGCAGCGACAGAGCGCTGTGGCTGTGAGCGGGTTGCCCCCCCCGCCCCCGCTGTCATTGGGGTGGCTGGCGAAGGCGGGGAGAGCGAGGGAGGGAGCGGCCCCGGCCCCGCCAGCGAGTGCGAGTGCGCACCGCGGGAAAAGGCAAACACCGGACTGCAAAGCGCGGGAGGTAGTGGGGCTCCACGTCCCCTTCCCGGTGGTCACTGGTGGGCTGAGAGCTGGGGCGCCCAGTCCCGCAGACTCCTAGGCTTGGAGAATGAATGCAGTAACCGTGATCTGCCCACCTGTGGGAACTCAGATCCCTGTGCGCCCACTCTGCGCTGGCTGTGGCCTCGAAGCTGGACCAGGTTATGCTGACACAACACTGTGATGTCAGGAAGCTGGTGACAGCCGCAAGCTGGGTTACACTTCTCTTCCCTCTGGCTGGGGAGGCGACCTTGGAGTTCTGGAGGGATTGCTGGCCCTAGAGGAATTAGAGCCATCTCCCTGGGGCCCGACTTCAGATCCTGCCTCTGTCCTCAGGTTGTAAGCAGAGGCACAGAAATAGAGTAGCTGGTTCTTGAGAGGTCAGAGCTTGGAGGCAACCTGGCTGCCACCTGCCACAGAAGAGTCACTCCTGAAGTAACAGAGAGCAGAGCACCAGTGGAAACCCTCTGCTCCCTTAAAGATGGGGCAGTGGATCCCCAGAGTCATGCCCTGGCTCTTGCTTTTAAGACGACATGGCCACATGCTGGAGAGAAGGGACTCTGATTTCCACCTTGCCATTTGCTGCCCCTGCATTCTTGCCCCAATAAAGTAAGCTCTTTGGGGTCTCACTTCCTACTGCACCAGGCCATAGGCCACATAGGGTTTGGAAGTAGAAGCAGTGAGTGGGTCACACTTTGGACATTTAATTGTGGCTAATTGTGCTTGTTCCAGAATCTTGCTTCAAGAGATCTTGGGTGGAGACTGCCAGCATGAGTACCTATCTCACTCAGCTTCATGGGGGGATTCCTAGGCTGATGTTCTGGGCCCCATCCTCAAACGCCATTCCCTTGCGGCTCCCTGTTAACAGGGAGGTTCTCTGAAGTGTTTTTCTTGGACTCTGGATATCAAATCTGTGTTGAATTAGAATGCTGTGAGATGCGTTTAGCACTCATAACAGCTCAAATGGGAATAATTGTCAAAGGAAGCAGCAGATGATTCGAGTTGGCTTTTGAAGCATAGTTCCAAATCAATCAACATTTTCTAATTTGCAAATTGGTCCTTAAGGGTTTTGGTGCTTGTTTGTTTGTTTTTTGCAACTGAGATTGGCATAGCATGTGAATAGCAACAATTGTATATTCAGACACTGGTTTGATTTTTAGCAAAGTCCCAACTTTTCAATATCAAGGGTGAGTAAATGCCAAAAAATAAAAAAGTTTAAAAGATTATTATTAAGAAACAAAGTGGTAATGACTTGCCCTCTGAGAATAGATCTTTGGCACACAGATTATGCCAAAATTGTTTCAGGTGCTGGGTGCCATAAGGTGATGTTTGGAATACTTGGCAAATGAGGCAACAGAGCAGGAACCTGTTCTTAGAGAAACCTGTACTGTGAGCTAGGCTTCGGCACTGTACAACTGGAACTTAGCAGGTTCTTGCACTCCCCCTGGAAATCAAGGGGCAGAGGTGATGAGTGACTAGGAAAGGGAGGGACACGATGAGATCCAGAACTGTACCATTAAGGAATTTAGTACTCAGCATAAGCAATGAGAAGCCCCAACAACAAACAGGGATAAACTATTGCTTGGGATGTGGCAATGCATCGCTAAACCTGGTTGCAGAATCTTGTTTGGCATCATGATCCATAGACCCTGTTTTGTTTTACTTTTTAAATTTTTTTTTGTACTGTAGATTGAACCCAGGGGTGCTTAACCACTGAGTCACTTTACCAGCCTTTTTATTTTTTAGTTTGAGACAGGGTCTCACTAAGTTGCCCAAAAGTTGCTGAGGCTGGCCTCAAACTTACAATTCTCCTCCCTCAGCCTCCTGAGCCACTGAGATTACAGGTGTGCACCAAGGTGCCTAGCTTTGCCAACCCTGTTTTAAAGCAGAAGTCAGTAGTCTCTTCTGGAAAGGGCCAGGTAATAGATACTCTCAGCTTTGTGGGCTACATTGTCTGCGATGACTTCTCAACTCGATCCTTGGACTGTGAAAACAGCCACAATCTGTAAACAAAAGGGTGGAGATGTTCCAATAGGACTGTATTTATGGGCACTGACAGCGGAATTTCATATAATTTTCATGCACCACAAAATAGTCTCTTTTCTCCTAATCATTGAAAACCATAAAATCAATCTTATCTGTTAACTATACAAAGGCAGGTAGTAGATTGGATTTGGCCCATGAGCCACTGTTTTTTCTAACCCTTACCTTAAAGTACCTGTGTGTTTCTCAGAATCAGTGTGGAGAAGTCTTTTCTCCTGAGGGCCATCTGGGTGGGTGAAGTCTCCTAATGACAGAGAGCTTTTTATAGACTGGGGAGAAACCTCAGAGAAGAAAGAGCAGGCCTTGAAGCCTTCAGAGGCTGCTGATGACTTCACTGAAGATTTTGCCTTTCACCCCTGCCCTATCCAAAATTTAGCAAGGAACTTGGTGGACTTTGGTGCTCTCACACTTTGGTCTTGGAAAACCATGGATCTTACTATGTCACTTGCCACCTATTTGACTCTGAAAGTGAGGTACAAGGGTCAAGTCTGAATCAAGTTCCTGCCTCAGTCTGCCAAGACCTCCAGCTTATTTGAGAAGTTCTTACTTAGCAAAGGACCTCTGCTATGCCTGTGCCCCATGTCTCGGGCTGCGTTTCCAGTGAGTTTTTCCAAGTTAGCTTCTTTTTGGAGTATTAGATGATGAAGTAGCCTTGAAGGTAACTCACAGCCGGCCCTTTGAAAGTCCTCCCACATCCTCTCTCAGAGCTCTGGGGTCAACCAGGAGAGGGCTAAGGAGCCGGTGAAGCCGGTGTCCCTGCTCTAAGCTCAGAGTGTGCAGCTGGAAGTCCAGGTTGCTGCATACTGGAGGACCTTTGTTTTGTGACCTCAGGGCTGACCTCTTCCAGCCAGGAGAGAGCTTCTTATGCTGGGCTGACAGTGCACTAAACCAGTGTTTTTCAAACTTTGCTTGCACCAGACTCACCCTGAGGGCATGTTCTTTTCACCGATTTCTGCCCAGCCTGAGTCTGTGGTTCAGGAGGACTGGGGCGTGGCTCAAAGATGAACATTTGGACAAGTTCCCAGGATGCCCTTTCTGCTGGTCCCAGAACCACATTTTGAAAACCCAAATGACCCTAAGTGACTTTAAATGACAGGACTCTCTTCTTCCTGACCCTTGCCTTTGTCCAAATATTACTACTACGCTCTAAAAATCAGATTGTGGTATGATGTAGTACACAGCCTGGCCCCTGGATTATCCATGTGGGTACTTGTCTGTGGTGAAGAGGCTTTGGGTAAATCCATGGTAGGATTAGAAAATGAGCCTGTAGGTGCTCCCTGAAGAGTGCAGGCAGAACAGCAATGAGTAGCAGTACCCCATCAGCGTGGCCCAGCCTGGGCCGGCAGGGGTGGGCCTAAATCATGTATTCATGCAGGTGTTTATTTCCCAAGCGAGGGTATAAAATAATCTTTCCTAGAAGAGATCAGAGCCTGGGGGGCAGGAATCTAAGTCCACAAACAACTTTCTCCCTCTGAGCTGTGCGGAGGTGAATGACCCCTGTGAACGCAACAAGCAGTGACTTGTCAAAGATGGAGGCTCTGCCAGGCACGGTAGCACACGCCTATAATCATAATCCCAGGGCTCAGGAAGCTAAAACAGGAGGATCACAAGTTCAAAGCAAGCCTCAGCAACAGTGAGGTGCTAAGCAACTCAGGGAGACCCTGTCTCTAAATAAAATACAAAATAGGGCTGGGATGTGGCTTAGTGGCCCAGTGCCCCTGAGTTCAATCACTGATACCCCCCCCCAAAAAAAAGGATGAGCAGAATTACTCAATTTTTTTGTTTACTTGGATTTTTTTGATTAGTAATTTCCTACAGCTCTCTGAGTTACTGAACCATTCCATGAAGAACAGGGAAGAGCGGATGGATGGCTCTCTCAATTGGCTAGTGGAGCCCCCAGGAAACTTTGCTGGCAGAAGGGACAGTCATTCTGTTCCCAGCGTAGAGTGGTTAGTGATGGGGAATGACATGAAACCATGCACAGGGCTAAGATTTCCTAGCCAGCTCTGTCTCAGGGTGGGAGAAACCTCTGGTCACAATTGTATCTGGAGTCTATCCCCTGCAGAGGAGAAAGTGGGTAGGTATCCCAGGTGAGCTGATAGGGAAATAAAAACAAGGGTGAGGTCTGAGGAACATCTGCACATTCTTTCCTGGTGAGAGAGTGCGAGCAGTGCCATCAGGAGATGAGTGAGAATCATTGCCTCATAACACTGGGTTGCAACAGAACGACCTGAGAATTGCTGCTTTGTGGCTTTGTCCTTTGGTTTACAAGTACACCTGCCATTAGCAAGCAGGACGGAGTTAAAGGACATCTCAGCAGTTGGAAAGTGCAACATCTGAGTAGAGGATGGTCAAGCTCTTCCCCAGAGACTCAAGAGGGAGGAAGATCTAGTTCCTCCTGGGAGGAGGCTGAAAAATGCCCAAGGCCCCCACAGGCAGCAGGAGGAGCCTCTCCTTGGAGTGGGGGTTTGAATCCTCCAGTTTTACCGCAGGGTAAATGATCGTGAGCATGTACCCGCAAGGAAAATTTGGTTCAAGAGTCAGATTGAAGACTAGAAAATTCACAGAATGTGCTTAGATAAGAAGGCCCATTCAAAGTTCTCAAAGCAGAGCACTTAACCCTCCTCAGTCTGTCTGCAGTGACAAGATTGTATTGTAAGCTCTAGGGTATAT